AAGCACCAAGATACCAACCTCGCTCCCAGGTTTAGGCGATAAATCTTTTAGCCGCATCCAGTTTTGAGTGTAAACAAAAGGACGTGTGAACATGAACTTTTTTAAGTGGCGATTTTCTGTTGCAGATTGAAAATGGATGGAGAGAGAAAGGAAGGGATCTCTTTCACCTTTCTCATTATTTCTGAAACCTGAAACAAAACCTGATCTGCTCCCAGGAGTTGGGTTCATCTTTCTCAGAGGCCTACGTTTCTTCTTCATTGTATCCAAAGCACAAAATTTTTTACTCTTTGCGGGTGAAAGGCCAATTCCTGCAGGGCCTTCTGTCGTTGCTTTAAAATTGCAGGGCTTGGCCCCGTTCTCCTTCGTGCGTCATCTGTTGCATCAAAATAACAAAATAATTGTGTAGATAATCCCTCTTGAGCATGCACCCGCTAAAGCCACAGACTGATCTTCATCGGATTAACAGTGAAACTTCAAACAGTGGAAGAAACAAGCATGTTCAGACATGTTTGATGGCTGGACTTGCTGAAATTCATCAAATTTCATGAAGCTGCTGGATTTTGTGGAAATGGAAACGAGGGACGTGAATGTCTGAATTCAACGACACGGACGGATGAGTGAACACTGTTGGCAACATGGAGTAGGCCTATGCTGCATTATGCCACCCACCTTCCCTAAACACTCGTTATATGAAGAGTAATTGAATTAGAGACGTAAATGTTGGGCGGGGAATCTGGGGCTGTGAGGTTTACTTCGTGTTTTCAACCTGAAAAAGTTGGCTTGTGTTTGGTATTACAGTAAGATTAATTAAGCTAATGCTTTGAGGGGGTTTCTCTGAAAGCCTCTTCGCAGACATCAAGCCAAATCACATCGCCTGTTGTTGGCAGTCGTCTTCAGTTTGTCTGAATAAATGTCCACTCTTCTGCAGGCTGCCTCACCGCTGCGGCTAATTCAGGGAACAGGAAACCCTGACGCCTTGACTCGTTATGCAAGACGCATTGCGAACGCCTTTAGTTTTGTCGACGAGACATTAGAAAAGAAGCGTGTTTTTAAGTCTGAGAGACGGTTGATCAGAGAGTAGCTGTGTTGTCACAGCATGGAGAAAATGCTCTGTTTTGTTTGGTCTAAACCAAAATGTTTCAATCTGATGTTGCAGTTTATGAATGTTTTTTTTTTTGTTGTTCTTGTTTGTTTCAAGTTCTGTGAAAAAGAGCTTAGATATTGTTTGTGGTTTTGCTTCCCCCCCTAACCAGGCTTTATCATTTCAGATCATCAGGCTGATTTATCATTAGACAAATCTGTGAGTAGATCTAAAAAAAAAAAAACTGTTAATTATTCGCCCTCTATTTTTGCTTAATTTTGCGACTGCAATGATGTTTATGATACCAACCGTCATGCCCGGTCCTGCAGACCGTCGCTGCTAGAAGATATCGTCGGTTCAAATAAAATCCCTGAAACACATAGCAAAAATGTCAAACCTGAACAATTTGTAATGACATTTTATCTATTTACTGTATGTACAACAGTCACGTGAATAAATAAAATGATGGAATATGGTGCTAAAAGCACTAAATGCATTCACTTGTGGCTGGAATAAAACAAATCTGGATAAACATTAGCTTAGGAACCGTTCTCAAACGTGGTACCTGTTGTTTTGTCACAGGCTCACAGCTCCACACAAATGACTAAATGTTGCAGGAAAAATGCTCCAACAAGTTCTTGGCTGTCGAAAATCTCTGCTAAAGCTGTCAAACGTAGACCTGTCAAAACTTTCCTTTTCAATTGATCCTTTTCTTTGTTTGTTGTTTTTTTGTTTGTTTGTTTGTTTTATTTGTCACTGCACTGAAGGCTTCAATTAAGAGATGACCTTTAAAGAGCCGGTTGGTTAGCGTGACGACGGGCAGCAGTGGTCACTGATGACATAAATCTCACTTTCAGTGAATCTGTGAAAAACAAAAACTATCTAAAATGTTTTTTTTTAGATAGTTTATTCAAATACTTTCCCAGGTAATCATAATTTCACTTTTGATGGAGCGGGGGGGGGGAATATATTTATGATCGTACAGCAATCTAAAACATATAATAAAATTCCTTTTATTTGTACAGTATTTTCAAGACGTTTTATATAAGACAATATTTGCATTGGCTGCAACTCTGATCCCAATTCATGAAAGCTGAGAGCTGTGAGTTATGAAAGGTTGCAGAATCTTGCTGTTGCTAGACGTCAAAAGAAAGCACAAAATGTCTGGAAAAGCTGAGAAACTACAGATCAAAACTGAAATGGACTCAGTGCTTCAAGCTCTGCCTCGGCTGGTTCTCGGTGCATCAATCTTTGTGTGTTGCGCCATCATTTTAAAGATAACATGGTCTGAATGAAAGACAGTATTTTGTTTGTGACCAATAGAGGGCGCCTGTCTCCCTGTGGTGACCATCTTCTTCCCGAAAGGCGAACTTTTGGACCGGCCTTGGTGTTCGCTCTCACTTCAAATCAGGAGCACCAAACTGCAGGCCCGAGAAGGCAAACCTCCCTGAAGAGGTGACGATGTTCCAATAACACACTGCTGGTGTTATTTTTAAGGTTTCCTCATTGTTCCAAATTGGAAAAGGGTTTCCTTTATTTTCATGACTATTGACATTGTAGATTCATACTGAAGGCATCATACTATGAAGTAACACATGTGGAAATATGTACTAAATAAAAAAGTGTAAAACAACTGACAATACGCCTTATATTGTAGTTTCTTCAAAGTAGCAACCTTTTGCTGTGATCACTGCTTTGCACACACTCTGCATTCTCTTGATGAGCTTCAAGAGGTCGTCACCTGAGATGGTTTTCACTTCACAGGTCATGAAAATAAAGGAAACCCATTGAAGGAGAAGGTTGTGTCCAAACTTTTGGTCTCTACTGTATATGTGTCACAAAATGTCTGAAAAACAACCAGGCTTTTATGGTTTTCTATTTATTTCACACTGTTGTGGGTTAGCTGGTATTCCACTGAATAAACAAAGGAATAAACAAAAGCTACTCGCAACATCTGTGGATTCAAAATAGCACTTTCTGATTTAGTCGAATCCCAACTGTTGTAGATTTTTCACAAGTTCTCGCTGAACTCAATGCCGGTCGTCCAGCTCTTCGAGAAGTCCCCCGTGGCCTGGCTTCATGCTCTGCCGTCGTCCTGCGTTCGGCTCACCTGGCCGGATGCCGCCCCGTCTTTAGCTCTGCGTCTGATCTGTGAGACCGAGCAGCGATTTGTTTTGATCTCGCTTGAAACAGACCCCGCTTCACGCGGACGCCTTTGCACTTCAAACCCCACGATCGCAGCTTCCCCCTGTTCTCCTCCGCGGCCCTTATTCCTCCTCGTCACCGTGGGTCTGCCTCCACCCACCGACACTTCAGAGCTGCGAAGTCGTCGCCTTCGCATCTCCTTCAGGACTCTCAGCGCTGCTTGGTGGAGGTGTCTGATTAAATCTGGAGTGATGCCTTGTTGCCGTGACGTCGCTCTCCGTGTCTGCTGCTTGCGGAGTGGAGAAATCGAGGTCGGGAAGAAACTGTGAAAAATGCACGGAGAGCGACGTGGACGTGTTAAAAGTCATGATCTCCTCGGTAGCCTCGTTTTGTTTGTTTGTCTTCAGTCAAGCTGCAGATTGTTGCAAATGACTCTTTAACAGCTCTGGATTTTATTTTGCCCCACCCGAGTCGTCCTGTTTTGCTTATCCTCCTGAAATCCTCTCAGAAGAAAACGCAGTTTTACTTTTCAGCTTGTATTGTTTACTGCTTATAGAAAAAAAAAAGTCTCGTGCCCCAGCAGCACTAATGCTGCACAAAATGTCAGAAGTGCCATGATTTCTGGGGGAGGAGCAGATCAGACGGTGATCAGCAGTATTTGTTTTTGCACACAAATAACTTCAGCTGACATTTGCAGATTTTTCAGAACATGCTTGGAAAAGGTTTCTATTTTTTTATTTGACCTTTTAGCCATTTTTATAGCTTTGCATTATTGCATATCTACCATAAGCAGAAAGACACAGTCAGATAACTGATCGCACGTGAATACAAGGTTTAGTCTGCTTCCCTACAAAAATCTACAGAAAGTAATACTAATAATAATAAAACAGAATATTTAGCTTTGTGTTTAAACCAAATAAATAAAGAAGACAGCATTACCATTTGAGTCCTCAAATTGTATTGCTGTCATGTGACTGTGATGAACCGGATCTGTATTCTGGAGCAGGAACATCAGGATTCAGAGAAAGCAGATTTCCATCAGAGTTCACTGCAGCTCTGCTTTTTGTGACACATCAATCGACTGCGCTGCAACATGCTAATGTCACAGCTGCAGCAGCCAGTATTTAGACAAATTAGAGCACAATTAGCTGACTGAGAGCGTCTCCCTACAAGCCAAAAATGCAAAGAGGCAGCAGCAGGATCAGGAGAAAAGCGGTTTTGATTTTGAACATTTAGCTCCATCAAAGAGCTGCCACACGTCTTTTTTACTAACACAACTCCCATAATGCTCTGCTGGTGTGCCATTCGGGATCCACGAGCCAACTTCCCGTGCTGACATTCATTAGCGTCTTAGTGCCACTTTCAACCTGGTTGAAACTGTTTGGACCTTTACCTAAAAGCCTCGCCTGTGCCAGGAAATCCACCAGTGTCATTAACCTGGAATTTCTCCTGAGGGCAAAGGTCAAATATCCAGATGGAAACTTGCTGATTGCAACAGCGAATTTGTGGTCGAGGTGCAACTCGATCAGGGACATTTAATAAGAGAGAGTAGCAGCACCAACCATTCAGGCATAACATTATGACCAAGTATTTCAGACTATCAAGTCTGAACTCTTGTTGGCTACCAAGTAGCCAACAAGATTGTGACCATCTTGTTGGCTAATGTGTCAGAAAATTAAACGTGGCTTAATTCAACAGACAAACTGAAGCAGAAAACGATGCTGGTCCTGCCAGAACGGTTTCCCTGACATTGTGTGGCGTCTCGTCCCTGCAGGTTCACGTGGGCACCTCCCATCAGGAGCAGAGGGTGGTGGGATACCTCACCTGCACGCACCTCCACGCCATAGAAGGTACAGTAGCTGCTGCTCAGTTGCTCCGCCGTACGTCTGTTTGCATGTAAGCTGCTCCTTCGCTGTGAATGCCTGTTAACAGTGCCTGCCTTCACGTTCGGAAATTGAGCTAAACGAGTGCGTCAAAAACCCTCCGTCTGCTGTTCCCATGGCGACTGCCTCACGCTGCTGAAGGCGTCACAGACCTATTTAAAGCCTCCCGGTCAATGCCACGCTCATTTTTTACCAAAGACAAACCCCTTCTTCCCCCCACCCCCTTCCTCTTCTGCTATTCTGGGCTTTTTTTCTCCTACGCTTGTTGCAGGCCTAAATATAGCAGAATCAGGGCTGGTTCTAAAGATGCACCTCAGGTAAACCCCCCTCTTGAGGTGAAGGGGGCTGCGACGTGAGTCGGGGAGAAAGAAGAAAGAAGTGAAGCAAAAGGTGCAGGCTTACTGAATCTGTAACCGAGCATGAACTGAAGTTAATAATTCAGCGCCTGAGTGGAGGTTTGGGGGGTTGGGGGTTCAGGTGAGCATCAGCTGGTGTGTTTTCTTCTGCACACCTGTGAGCTGCTCAGATATGTGCAAACTGTGGCACACATGTGGATGCGTCTAAAACCACTCCAGATTTCTGTTTCCCACCTCTTATTGTCAACAATACCATGGCATTTTCTTTCTTTCATTTATTTACCATCCTCACAGTGCCTCTATTTGAATTTCTATTGTAATCTGTACATCCACACACCATCCCTTTTTATACTTTATATTATTTCCTCCAAAGTTTATGTACACTTTATGTCTATGAGAGAAATGATAATCTTGATTATAACCTGCTAAAAATACAGTTTAAGATTTATCTGTCGTGCCAAATTATCGTAATTTCTAAACAAAAGCTTGCAATAATAAATGATTGAACTTTATTACCTTTAGAAGATTTTGGTGAGATTGCTACACTCTTTCTTCCTGACATTACATCCAGTTGGATATTTCCACAGACGTCGTTAGATTCTATCAACACATTTGAATATAAACCTCATAAAGCCGTCTGATATTCAGCACGGCTGCCTGGGTAAAAATGTTGGGATTTCTTCCATAAACACAGAACTCATGTAACTTAAACGTAACAAAATTTGATCTACAGAATAAAGGGAAAAAAAGTCTGGAAATGTTCATCCAGGGGGAAAATATTTAACATCCTTCAACTACAAATCTGAATCCGCCTTTTTTTCTGACCCTCACAAGAGACATTGTGAGGGTCAGTTTCCTCCTGCTCTTGTTTTATTTGGCCCAGGCTCTGGCTGCAAAAACACACCTACACCGGCCCAGTCAAAGACCTGACCCAGATCCAATTGACAGTCACTGGTCTAACGGAGAATTTGAATATTTCCCCCTGTAGATGGAAAGATGGTGAAGAATTAACCCGCAACAAGAAAAGGCAAAAAGAGCACAAACAAGAAAATCAGATGTTTTAAAAATTAATAAATTATTTTCCTTCCACCTCACAATCTGATATGTTGTTTTGAGCTTTCAAATAAAATTCTTCTACAATAAGTTTCAGATTGTGACGAGGAAACAAGAAAAGAAATCATGTAAAGAACTGTAAACACTTTTGTAATGCATTTTTATGTCTGTATTTATTTATGCAACAGTCATATTTATGGAAAGCCCATGCTTTGCTTTGACTTGATGTTTCTTTACCTGCTTTTGTTGTGTTTTGATTCTTACATTTTCTCCGCTGTTAGATCTTCCACCAATCAGGGCAAAAATGTAAACACTTTTCATACTTTATAAAAGTACTTTTTTCAGCTACATTGTAATTTCCTTTATGATTATGTAACTTGTGTAGTAGGTTCATATTACCCTCAACCAATCCTCCTGTTTCTCCTGTGAGGTGCTGATGTAACCATCTGGAGATTCGTAGGAGAAAATCAATGCAGGAGTCAAACTCAGGTTATTAGGTTTTTTTATTTATTTAGGATGCAGCAAATGGAAACAGTCTGATTTAATCAACAGAGTTGAGACACCATCATTTCAGAGACATGACTTCTGTTTCCATGAATTGTCTCAACTGGTTTGGCTGTGATAAAAGGCATTTGTTTTGTATTTTATCTAAAACTCACTATTGTGCAGTGTGTTAAATAAAAAGCAGCAAACAGGTTGAACAAAAAATTAAAAAGAAAAAAAAGGATGTGTCTGGATTTGAAATAAATAACTAGAACAGTTTAGGGTTAGGGTAGGCATCACTAAAAGCTGCGTTTGTGATGCAGAAGAGAAATCTGAATCGTGACACATGAAATGCAGCAGCGTCGTTGTTTCAGAGTCACATTGTCAGAACTAAAATCCTCATCTGTCACACATACAACTAAAGAACTTGGATTAAATTGTTTAAAGTGATCTTTTGACTTCTCCTGACATGTAAATCAAATGTCTCATTTCCCATCAGAAACATCATTCTTAAATGAAAGAACAGCCAGGGGATGTTATCATCTTTTAGCAAATATTTGTGTCAACCAAACAGCAAGAGTCACCCGCAGAGTCTAGAAGTTGTTTTAGTTTGCAAACTCAACCTGCAGAACGGTTCCCTGAAGATGGGTTCTGGACTGAAAGTGACTGTGAATACGCAGCACAATATCTGGACTACTTTAAAAAACCTTTTAAAGAGGTACTTTAAACAAACATGGTTATTTAATTACTGCTTAGTGACGGTCCGTCTGTGGCCCTCCGAAGGATTTTTCTCAGCCACGGCTGTAAATTATCAACAATGCAAACTCTGGTCCAACATCAGAGGCAGATTTTCTCGTCCTTCTTGCCTGCTTTTCCACAATTCAACAACTGACCAAAAGCTTTTCAAAAAACTTACTAAGCATAAAGAGAACATGGATACATTTTCACTCACGAGTGCACAAGTCTCACCTGAATGTTTTCTTCCCTCAAATCTTCCCGTTCAAACACATTCGCGAACAAATTTACAACAAACACGCCTCCACATTCCTCAGTTTCTTCCATTTCTATTTATTTTTTTTTTTTTTGTTGTTGGTTTTTTTGTAAATTTTGATGAAACACAAACATTTCACATGGAGCTGAGCTGCGGCCCAGAGTAATCAAAGCCAAAGCCACCTACTCACCCTCCAGTATCTTGACACGTCTTTGTTTCTCACACCTTCCACTGTTCATCTGTTCTCTCGGATGCTCTCAGCCTTTGCCTCCCCCTCTGCCGCTCGCCTCCTCCCTCCTCGCATCCACCGGCAGCGGTGGATAGATGCAGCAGACCTCAGTGTTAACAAACAGTCTCTCTAACTCTCCTGTTATGTAATAATGTAAAAAAAAATGTTTTTAAAACTTTAAAAAAAAACAAATGAAGCTGATACAGTAGCCTCTGGATGAGCCTGCTTTTAGCTCAGAGTGGACAAACATGCTCCGGTGTTTTTTTTTCTGTTTTGCATCCAGGTGACTCGTCGGTCCGCTGCGAACAGCTGGACCTCCTCCTCCAGTGGGGGGCCGAGTTTCGCCAATCCTCGCCCCAGGCCCCTGAAGGAGAGAAGGTGCTGGAGGACCTGGTGGCCTTCGACGTCATCTTGGGAGACCTCAACTTTGACAACTGCTCTTCAGGTATGCAGGTATCCCCTCTGCCAGCGTGACCTTGCCGACGTTCGGCTGTGCAGGTGTTGACGTCGTCAACCCTTCAAAGTAAAAGCCAACTCAAGTAGTTTGAGTGGCTAAAACATGAATGATTAACACTTTTATTACTGAATCCCATTTATTTAGTAGAGGTTCATCTGATGCATTTGTGGTTGTTTATATTTCATTTAATGAAGTCGCTGACACAGTGGGTAGAGTAGCCAGACATTTTACTCAATTATGAAGAGTATTACTTCATAATAATAGTACCATACTCAAGTAAAAATAAAAATGTTGGTGCAATGAAATTACTGCTAAATGTACAAGTAGTACAACACTAAACTGAACCAGTTGCTACCTCTGTCCATTCAGTGTTGGTGGCTCATAGCCAACCTGTTTGCAGTCTTTATTGCATTTCTAATTTATTTGGATCTTTTGTTCCCATTTCTTATTCATGCATTCTTCTTTAAATCCAACTGGTTACAATCCAACTGTGTGAAATTTGAATAATTACGGCCTCCTCCTCCTCAGTCTGAGGATTTCTACCAGGAGTGTATCTGTTGAGTCGTCTTTATGTTTAGAAGCAAATAATAGGCAAATAACGATGAAAACTCAAAAAGAAGTAGTTGTAAAAATACTTGGATTTCTCACATTCATCTTGTTTTATCACAAGCTCTTTGAAATTAGATCATATATCTGTAACATAGAGACCCAAGATGATTTCTTTTCTGTGCTAAGTAAAATAAAGTAAAAAAATAAATTAAATAAAAATTCCCCTTCGCTGCCATCTAGAGTTGATTGATGGTGTAACTGTTTTTAAAGCCTTTAAAAAAGATCCACAAAATACATCACATTTAAATCAATGCTTTCACATGAGATTTTCAGTGTATTCCGATCCGAGACTATAATTTTAACATCCACGGTCGGTTTGTGTGTCTGTACTTTTGCAGAAGACAAACTGGAGCAGCAGCACACACTTTTTTCTCAGTACAAGGACCCATGTCGCCTGGGGCCGGGGGAGGACAAACCGTGGGCTCTGGGTAAGAACACATCCGCTCAAGTTCGCCTCACGCCGACAGGGATTTCAGTGTCGCCCGAAGCTCGTGACACATCCACAGTGGCAGGTGTTGCTGCAGCAAAAACGGGCCTGAGAGCAGAGCAGACCACGAGCTGCATCCTCGGGCTTAAATCAGGACGTGAATTAAAATACCACCAGCACAGCAGGGCTTGATGCATGGGCATTAGTGACGCAAAGACGGGAGGCTTTTGGTCTGGATGTGAAGCACTATTTAGGCCAGCGGTATTTCGGGGACAGTGTGGGCAGGACAGAGTGAAAGAGCTTGTTTGGAGAAGAGCTTATTTCTCTCTTTTGGAGCAAGCTGGGAAGAGGAGCGGCTCGGCTGCGGTTTCCTCTGTAGCAGCTCGGCGGGAGCAGAGAAAGGGGGAATCAGTGAAGGTGAAGATTACCGCGTTTCACAAAGGTAATCCAGAGAAGACTTGGCACATATAAAAACATTTGTGTTGCAGCAAGAAGCAACAGAGGAGTGAAACCTGACATCTGCTGCGAGAGCCTGTCATCATCAGAAAGCATGAGGCGGCTTTCGAGAACAATCAGAGGAACTTGACTGAAGCTGCGAGGATTAAAATGTTGTCTGTTTTTGGTAATTAAACAACAAATGAAGCACTGACTAGTTCATATTAAGCAAATAAATGCCAAATAAATGAGCAAATATGAGTCAAGGGAGGTTTTTTTTTCTTTTTCTCATTATCTTCAGGAAATAATATTTAATGACAAGATAAATACCAACTAATACATTTGGAGGACCTGAAGTTCCAAAACAACTATGAGTTGAACATGTCAACCGTTTTAAGGTGTGTTTTATTATGTACTCATTTCTAATTTGACCTCTTTTTTTTTAACCTAAAAGTTTATCTGCAGTCGTCATCAGTCAGATTTTTCGATCAATGCTGCTTATTAAGGACGTGTTTGAATTGTTCTTTTCCCAGTGCAAAATCAATGTACAACAGACGTCATGTATAATATGTACACACCACAAGTCTATGCAGAAAAGTGCGCGCTTTTCTGCCACAGATTCAGCTTTTACTGTGGGCTGTTTTTCATCCATTCATTCTTCGTTCATGCGGTTGAGTCCCACTGAGATGTGAGGTTTCGTTTTTCAGGAAAGACGTCTCCAGTCCAGACACTTCGTGTTAGGATGCTTTATCCATTCTACCCCCTGTTTTGATTTGTCTTTGGGCTCTTTCTCCTCTCTTGCTCCTGATTTTAATTGTTCTTTGGTCTAGACTCTTGACATCCAAACCCTAAATCCTCCTAAGCTATATGATTGTGGACAAAAAGTTCAATATTTGTCTTATCTAAGCTTTTCTCAGTCATCAGTCTCTTAATCCCTGGTGATGTTCTTGAGGACAATCAGATTTGTGCTCCAGCAGTTTTCAGTTTATGGTCCTTTAACATCCCAGTGTTCTCCTTGTGATCACAGCTTCTATTAAACATTATAGCACATATTAATTGTGTGTTTATGTGACACTATTTCATCAAATGATTTTTGAGTTTTGCACTAGAAATGACTCCCAAAAGTTCTCCTTCCGACCTTTACTGAATTTTCCGAGCTTTCTCATCGTCAGTCTTGTCGAGTCCTTGGATGTCCCTCATTTTAGGATGTCCTCAACATATAGCCTATGAGTTTCAGAATACAGTCACTATGAGTCAGTACTTTATTTAAAAAAAACATATCTCTACTTTTCATAATAATATCCAGTATTTGTTTGTATTTTCCTGCTTTAGAGTTCCGTCTTTTTTGTGACCCATGATGAACTTTGGGAAGGAAAGCAATCCGACGAGAACAGAAACTGCGGCCTCTGTTGGAAATGAGGAAGTGTGGGTGGAAACTGTGTGAAATGTTTCCTCTGTTCCGGTGCGACGTTGAGTCTGAATGACATCAGGATTCATTAGCTCAGAGAAACCGAGAAACGTTGACCACCGAGAGGAGAGAAACTCTTCTGCAGTCAAAAAAAAAAAAACGAAACAGATCCATGTTTCAGAACCACCTTCAGACCCGGTGATGCTCAGCAGTTTTCCGTACGGCCGAATCGGACTCTGGACTCAACATCGTCATTTGTTGAGGGTTCCAGGGTTTTGTTTCTCTGAGCTTTCCTAAGCTAAACCAAAGTAGTTTAAAGTACTGGACTTCGAATTGGACGAATGGGACATTTGGATTCTTGTGTTTGGAATCATTGTCCTGCTGCTGTTAAATAGATGTAAATAATTTGGCAAAAGCCTGGTTGGAAATTGTCAAAAAATTATACACTCAGTGAGCTGACACGAACTATAATGAAACGTATTCTTCATCGTTTTGAAGAATACGATGCTTCTTCAGAACTTCTGCTTTTAACAGTGGCGACTTCGCTGATGAATATCTTGTGCTTTTTATCATCAGCTTCTGGCTGCTTCTTTTCTTGAAAGCACTTGAGATGTACACACATTTTCACCGCGGTGGCACAAAAAAGCCTCCATTTCCCAAGACTGAGTAGCAGCACTTTCCCAAATGAGGAGTAAATAACTTCCACTCTGTGAAGCACAAAGTTCCCGCATGAAATCTCATTCCTCTATATTCCAGTAATCGTAAAAAATCTCCTCTTAGAGTTGTGAAAACTGCTGTCTGCACATCAAACATCCACTTCTCTTAAGAGCTCTTGTAAATTGACTGGACTCTCTCTTCATATAGAGCCGCTTCCATCATGTTATTCAGCCTCACTGTGAAAAATGTCTCTGAGTGCTCATCTCTCCTCTCGCCGTCACATCTCTCTGCTCTGTGAGAGAATACTGGAGTCTGAGGATTGCGAAGGCCCGCTGAACAACATCCTCTCTTGAAGAGCTGTTGCCTTTCATGAAAGCTATTCTGGAGATAAAGTAGTGAACTTCACAGAGAGGGACACGTTGCAAAGCAAGCCTCAGATCGATGAAGAGGATGCAGAAGTGGTTTAGAGTTATGCAACTGGAGTGGACCAACGCCTGCTTGGTCCACAACGTCTCTAACGCTGACCCGGATTTGCTGCTCAATGTACAACAGTATAGGCAGATGAATGAAATCCATGAAAAATTCTTTATTGGCATTGTAGCCATTAAACCATTATTTTTAATGGTATTTTATATGTTTCATGTTGTATTTTCATGTTTATATTTGGTGATGAGCCATCGTGATGAGCCATTAGTTCCCTCAACATACTAGTTCTCAAATTCTGGTTGTGTCTCAAGTTGGGTCCACAACATTAATTTTAGTCAAAAGAAAGATATTGGAAAAGGTCAAATATTTCCTCAAACCGAAACCTGCCAGGTACATGAATCAACCAATCACTGTGCATGAACTCTGTGAGGAGAAAACTGCAAAACAAAATTACATTTTAAATGTTTCTGCACATTGAAAAGATTGAACATGATTCAGTTAGACTGCCGCTTATATTTTTGATTTTATTGGTTTCTTCTGCAGGCACTCTGCTGGATCCCAGTGGCCTTTATGACGACGACGTCAGTTCACCCGAAAGTTTACAAAAGTAAGCCTCACCTTCTTTTTTTCCACTTTATGTTACACATTTTGGCAGCCATTGGTGTCACTTGTGTTAAGCCACGCTATGTTTATTTCCCACTCACACAAACTCTTAATCTGGCATACTTTTAAGTCCTGCAGTGAGCCCACTTCTCCAACTGCGTGAATCTGGTTGTTCTTGCAGAGTGATGGAGAACGAAGAGGGGAGGAAGGAATACCTGGTGTTCCCTCCCAGTAAGAACCAGTGTCCTGCCAGCAGTCAGAAGGGCCGGAAAATCCCACTGAAGGGCAATGGACGCCGGATTGACTACATCCTCTACAGCGATGAAGGCATTCAGCAGGACTGGAAACTGGTAGATGATGAAATGCATTCCTGGGTGTTGAAGAACATGATCTGAACCTTTAGTCCCTCAGTGCAGATATGTGGTGAATGCAGGATTGTTGTCACTTGTAGTTCGTAATTAGTTATATCTGAAAATGCCTGCAGCTCCTTCTGTGCTGCTCTCAGTGCTCCAGCAGCCTTCCTTTCAATCTTATTGTTTGGTTAATATTCTGAGAGACTGTGCTCAGAATATTAACCTATGCATTTGGTTAATAGGATTTTCTAAAATTGGTGGCAGATATAAAGTCAAGACTGAATGCTGAGAGTGCATGGAAAGCGTTTTTTACATGTGACTTTTGTTTCAGATAAAATGTACAGAACATGTCAAACTAAAGGTCCTAACAGGACTGACATTATCGGCACAAGTCTCCTTTGCACCATTTTAAAGCCGCTATGATTTTATGTCATGCCAAATATTAAAATAACGGGATTTACATAAACACATTAATCTAAAAGTACAACATTGGCAATCTAAAACTGCATCCGAAGAAATAGCCAACACCCAACTTGTTGCAAAGTCTAATTTGACTCTACAAGCTGAAAAAGTTGCAAAGTTTCACCTACTAGAACAATGAGACTTATTTTCAAAAACGTGCTGATTAAAGCAAATTTTATACTAAAACAAATTTGAACAAAATGGCAAAATCAGAATATTGAGCCTTTTTTCCGCTTCAATCACCCCTGATTCACAACAGCTACATCCTCAGGTGTAATATGTAGAGTAGAACTTTATTTCAGATACTTTTATTTCAGTTTAAGAAACTTATACAGAACATTTACACCACTTTTTATTAGAATTTGTTCAAAAGAACAGTAAACTTGCTCTCAGGCTTCTGCTTGTGGTTCAGTATGGACGACAGGCTTAACAAACCCACAGGAAGACTTTGACTAGACCCAGGGATCCAAACAACAAAACAAAGCAACACAAACCGGAACCACTTAGGTATAAACAACAGAGTCTTTGTCAGACATTAGAAAACCAAAACTCATCACTTACATGAAGACGACTCACTCTCATCCTCCTGCTTTCAGCACCTTTTCTTATAAACTGCAGCCAGGCGTCGCCACCTTGTGGCAGAGTACTGAAATTCATATCTCTTTCATAAAAGCTAATCGGATAGCCATTTTCAATATTTCTGTTTGCTATTTCTAGTACTTTAAATACATTTCAGATCAGTTCTTGATCTGAAATGTATTTACAAGCATATGATAAAGGTCAATGGTTATTTTTAGTGTAACTCTTTTAAATTATTAGCTTTGTTGCTTTAACTTTTTAGCTATAGAGTTGCTGTTCTCATTAGAAGTTGAAGTATCCCTCTAAGTGACAATAGAGTCAGTGATTGTTGCTGGAATGTTTCCCGTTATTTAGATCTGGCTCAGACGTTGCCTGTCATGTGACCTCGTCGGCTGCTAAGGCCTTCTGTCGTTGTAGTAAATCAAGCATTTATGACACAAGAAGTCACTAAACCAGGTTTAAGAAAACCTCCCAGAACCTGATGAGAAAAAGAAACAATTAAGACACAGGCAAGGCCTTTCCCATTTATCCGGAGCAATGAGTGTTATGCATCCAGAGATCTGCAGCTGGCAAGAATTGGTGTCAGGAATCTTACACATCAAGACTTTTCAGTGTTGGCTTTAATTTTTATGAGCATGCCTGTCAAATCTCTGGCCTTACTGTGTTAACTGATAATCTAATTTTATCTGTGGCGTTTCTGCTATCATTAGCAGCTGCAGTGAGTGACATTAGAGGAAGTAATTGTAGTTGGAAAGTACCGCACGAGGTTGTTGAGTCTGATTGACTTGACGGAGGTTGTTTACATGTGTTTCACCTCGTCCCTGGACTTCCAGTGAAAGGAATATTAGGAACATGAGGACGTGTGAAGTTGTGATAACAGCCTGGGGACGGCCCTGTGGTCTTAACACAACAATGGCAGTACTGATCTTGTGTCTTTTTGTTTTGTCTACAGTCAGTACCTTATGACAATAGTCAGAATCTGAAATGTAATTGGGTCACAGATCTGAGGACTTTTTCGATCAGGCTTGTCTAGGCTCCCATCAGGGACTTGGCCTCCTTTTTTCAAGATAAGAACCACAGAAACCACTTCACTAAAAACCACTCATGCTCTTGATTATGGTAATATACTAAAAAATTCAAAGAAGCAGATGCCCTAATAGACTAGGTCCTGTAAAGGAAGATCCATCTCGATCCCCGAACAGCACAAACAGCAACAAGGGGAAGTCCAGATGGAGTACAAACCTGCACCAAGAAGCAAAATTCTACTTTACGATTAAAATACATGGTAGAAATTGATTTAACATTGATTTCATTGAGATCTGTTTTTCCAATCAAAGCTAAGAAGCTTCATTAAAAGTAAATTGTGCAAAATATTTACAATCAGACGCTGAAGGAAGGACGAAGGAAGAGCTCTTTGAAAATGTGGTTAATTTGCAGGTCTATTCGCAGCAGTTCTTTGAAGATCTTTAGCACCTTAGCTTTTCTAATAAACAAAGACCTAAAGATGCGAGGGCCTGAAATAGTGTTTTAAATTAAAATATAGCAGATTCAGTCTGTAGGTAAACCATTCAGTGAATCTCTGACCTGCAATAAACAACATCCAGAAAATTGATGCTTTGAAAAAGAAAGTTCATATAAATCCCATCACAGTGCAGGACAGAGCAACGTGTTGCATGCTGCAACACTGCTGTCAGAGAAACATCTAATGGAAGAAAAGTTCAAACTCAATAAAACAAACTGAGTAAAAAAAGGATCTGATACAATAGTCCCAGCTTTACAGCTGCTGATCTTATTTTACTGAAAGAAAATCCCCAACACTTCTGTCAAAGCAAGAGAAGAAAGGTCTGAAGCATATAAAAAATTCCCGAGGGCAGATTTATTTCCCTATTTTGTAAGTATGTTTATATAAAATTATCACCAATAAGAGAGGCCAGTTGAGCGCCCACTTGTCACGTCTCGCCTCTGGTTTCACAATGACATAATCCAGAAGCTGTTTGCAGCGGCCATCTTCCTCACAGCCACATTTAGATGTCAGTGAAACCGACAATGTCAAAAGTCTGCTCAGCAGGCAGCCACTGACTCCCTCCAGAAACAGTCTCAGCCACAAAAGGTCACAAAAGGTCACAGATAGAGATCCTGGACGTTCACAGAGCGATGTCTTTAATTGAAGGTAAACTCGTCTGACCCTGAACCCCACAGAGAATCTGCAGAACATCGTCCAGAGGACGATGAGAGACACCAGACCCAACAATGCAGATCTCCTAAAGGCCGCTACTTTTTGGTCTCTGAGAATTTGATGGGTTTTTTTTTTTATTGGCCATAATGAGCAGAAATAAACAATTCCAACAATTTTAGAGTTTCTGTTTCAAAAATACAGATGAAATTACACCTGCCAATCACCTTACCTTTCAGTTTCTACTGCTTCCACTGTGCATGCTCTTTCATCTGTGTATGCATTTACTTCTTTTTTTTGTCTCAGTTTGAACACATTTGTCCTCGTTTTGCAGGACATCGAAGAGTTCAGCTTCATCACTCAGCTGGCCGGCCTCACCGACCACCTTTCCGTGGCCATGCGACTGGCTGTTTCCACCGGGGAAGAGGAGCCTTAGATCCACCGCCTGATATTTATATTCTTTACACTTTACTGCCATGGAGGAACAATCAGGAAGAAACTCGGGAAGTTCCGAGTTTACATACGCAGAGCAGAGCAGCATGAGGGAAGGTTGAAGGGGCGGCGAGTGGATGAGTAAATCTGCGGAAGAACGCTCAGGACATTTACAAAGAAGGACGAGAGAGAAAATTCAAAGGAGAGAAACAAGCTGGGGGGAATTCATATTAGGAAGTCAGAAATTTTTTTTTTATCTTCCTGGGTAAATTACCCACAGATTCACACTGAACACTGCGACTTTGAGACTGTTGGTTTTTCCTCCGACCCTCCCCGCTGAACTAAAGCCCGGAGGGTTTTGTTTCGAGTGAAGTGTTTCATGTAGCCAATGCACACACTCATTTTATCGGATCTGTTTTAGGACGTAGTTTCCAGTATAGCTGTTTTTATTTTTATGCCTCTACCTTCAGGAACAGCTTGGATGCTCATTGTTGAGAGTGCGACAGAACGTGAAACTGAAGTGAAGCTGCTGACCGGCCTTTACGACGACCATCTGTGACCTTGTGTTGTGCTCCTTCCCTAAACGTTACCGGTCGGTTTCGCTGTCAGTCGTTCACCGCGCTGACCCCCCCTCACGTCATTCCCAAAACCTCAACAAGTGTCTTTTTTTCTTACAAACAAATCTTACTAAAATGAGAAGAATAAAAAACAAGAGTTTCTATTATAGATGCTCCACTTTTTATAAAACTTATAATGCCTGTTTAATATGAAATTAAATGTTTCTAAGGGAAGGAAGAGGTTGGATGCAATGTAATGCATTTAGCATGTTTTTTCAGATATTATCAGTATGAGCATTTTGTAGATAAAGCTCCAGTGATGCATGAAGGTAAAACGGTTTACCGCACTGTTACAGCAGCCCGATTCACGCTGACTTGAGATTGGATGCCTCAGTGAGCATTTACCCTGAAACACGCACTCGGATTTATTTTTTGTGCATGTGCAAGACACAGAAAGGTGTGCACAGGAGCAGGAGGATTTAAACAACAAAAGCACGCAGCTACACTTTGCGTAAAGGAGAACAGATTGTAGGAATAATAATCATTGTCATCGTCTTCATCATGTGACTGTCCCAAATAGATAATGTCAGGGTGTGTAGTTTTAAACCTGTGGCGCTACAACACTTTGAAAATGAATCGCCTTCTCCCAGACAGAATCTGTTAACTATTTGTCTCTTAAGTTTGTCAGTTCATTGACCAACAAAGTAGTAAACACACAAAACAATTTTCAAATGATGATTTTATTCATAAGGAATAATGCTATTCCAAACACCCTGCATCTAAGAAAGCAATATTATCTCCAAATGCTAATAACTGGTTGTGACTCCCTGGCTGGCAATAATCGTCTTCAAGCTTTGGAGGGAAGTGAAAAAAGTCCCTTCAATCAATGTGGAGGAGTTTGGGTCCACTCTGCTTTACAGAATCAGTTTGATTCAGCAACATTAGGGTCATCTGTCAGATTCTCAATCAGATTAAAGTCCAGACTTTGACTTTTTAGTGAGACATCCTGGGGTTGAATTACTGGGAGGGCAGAAAAAAAAAAAAAAAAAACACTGCACTGTGAGGGGAAAAGTTGTAAGCAGTGCATACACAGGCATGATTGATAGCATTAAGATCCTCCTTCTTGCTCTGATTGGTTGGTTGTGACCTGGCGCGGTCCGTTTCTGGAAATGGCGGTAGCATCATTGGGAGAAAGAAGAGGAGTTTGATTTTTGATTTTTTTTTTTTTCCCAACAGATTATTGCTGTCAGATTCTCCTGTCCGGCCGTAGCGACAGTTTTAACAAATATCTAAAAAGTATATATTTTTACAGAAGTTACCCACTGCAGCTGTGATTAAATCAGGTTGTCTTTGTCTGATTTCAACTTTTGCCTGATGACTCAGTGTGCCAAATAAAGCAAAACTAGAGGAAACCTGAGAGAGCAAACACTTTTTGCAGCGTTGTATGTTTTGATCATTTGTTATGAACCCACCTTGTTGGAACAATCAAATTGCCATCACGTCACATAAATTCAAAGCTTTTTATGAAATACAATGGATATTCAATACTGACATTTAGAAAGCTGCAATGAAACCCATTACGTAAATACAAACTCAAAAGTCTGTATTTTGAGCAGACTCATATTTTCTTTCCTGTTTGTAATCGTTTTAACTTTGAGCAAATATTTCAAAGGAGGAAGTATGTCCAGCATTTTGAACTGATTAAAAGGAAAAACACAATTCAGTCAGATTAGTTGGCCTCTTTTTCTTGATTTGTTGTCAACCAAATTCCAAGTTACTTAGAGACTGTTAATTAGAGTTAAACTTACATAATAGATATAAATATTGGTATTTCGTACCAAATTCTGCAAACCAGGCATAACTGTGTGAAACTGTGAGCACCATATGGCCGCAAAGTGCTTTTGATATGATGTTTTCTAGGTGTTGAATATTCATCAGCTGGTGTTAGTGGTAATTTGGGGGTAAGCTGGTTAACACCTCATATTTTGTGTTTACTATCAGCATAAATCTCCTCCCCTTTTTCTTTTGCACCAGAAGATGCATCATCTGATTGTTTCACAAGTTCTCAGGTTTCTCTATTAAAATGATAAAGTATAGTCGCTGTGACAGAGCCATTGGGTGTCGTAACCTAACCCGTCTCTCCCTCCTTCAGCAGCTCAACAAGACACTGATCAACTCTTCTGCTGTAGGAGAAGTCATTCACTCAGGTTCACCACAGTGAAAACGCACAGAAGGTGCGTTAAATTAGAGCGCTGCAGGAAAATGCGTTCTGGGAGGAACATTTCCCAAGTCTGACAGACAAAACATGCCTTTTGGTGGTTTCGTTACACGGAAAGGTTGGACCATTTTGAGAGGACAGTTTGAGTCTGAGTTGTGAGTCATTCAGGCATAAAACGGTTCATCTCAAGGGATTAACCAGTGTTTTTGTTTTTGTTTGTTTGTTTGTTTGTTTTTGACATACAGCAGAGAGCTTTTAACTTAGAAAATACATTTTAATGACAGATTCATTATTCAGCAGAAGAGAGTTGTATCTGATCGTTCAGGACAGATTCTGACGACACGGCTTCGTGGAAGTAAATCTGGACTGACTTCCAGTGTTTTACATGGTGAATAATGTTTACAGACATTTTTAACCATCTGTTTCAAAGTCACGTCAGGGGAGTTCGCACACAGTAAATTATTAGAAACTATTAAACCGTAAACAAGCTGCAGAAACACGAGCTACTGACCGTAGCAGTGAGACGGTGAATGACACTATGAGTCAGAAAAATACCAGGTTTTGTGTCTGTGTTCATTTCTGTTTTACAATTTGAGACCAGAGATCACCTGGCAGCCCGGTCACGCTCCTTATGACTCACATATTGTAATTACTATGACAATTACTCTTATTTTTATGCAAAATTTCTTGTTTTTAATTTTTTAATTCACCGCTTGTGTGATTGATTTTCAAAGAAATTTTGCTCCGATTCCAGAATTATTTTCTCTTCTTTTCCTTAGACGCGCCGACATTATAAGCAAAAGTACACCTCTTTTCAGGTCGAGGGTTTAAAACATCAAGATCCTGCTACATACGGATCTGAAGTCAATTAGGAGCTTTTTGCTGCCGCAGCAAAAAGTGTGTGCTCTCATTTCATTGAACTTTGGATTAATCTGTTTATTAACCGACTGTGTGGAATTTGTCCACTTTAAGTTAGAATTAAACAAATTAAGCTTTGCAAAGACCAGCTCTGATTTATTATTTTTGAACAAAGAAGAGTTTCTACTTTCATTTTTATGAAGACTCTGTGAATCAAAAACTCCCACATTGTGACTCTACTGGTAAATAAGATGCTGGCTGGCTCCATTCAAGTCTTTAAATTTATATTCACAGCTTTTTGCTATTTCTGCTTTTTATCGTGACAAACCCAAATTACCACAATGTAAAATATCAGTTTCAGAACACAATCTATATTGTTAACCTTTTGTTCTTCAATTTGTTTCCATGATTGTTTCCATGTTTTTGAATCAGTTTAAAAACTGATTTTCTGCAACACAGACAGTGTGGTGGGACCGTGATGTTCAGCAAGACAAAGTGTTGAATTGTATGTGGAAGGAAGAAGATCAAAAATGTAAAATTTGTTGGTGGAGAATGAGGAAAATGAAGTGATATTTTATGAGAAACGTTTTATTTCCCACTATTGGCAAATTAAATACTATGAGTATGGTTCTGTTTCTGTTTGTCTGAGCGGTTTTCTTCTATGCTGGAAGCAAAACACAGTTTTCTGCAAATCCACATCTCCACCCGCAGTTCATGTCACACAAACTCAAACGACATTAACGCGAGGGCATCCGCCTTCCACCTGCTCAGCTGCATTTTTTATTTTCGGTGGGAAAAAGTTGCTTGAAAATGTGAAGCAATGTAAGAACGTGAACGATGAAACAAAAGTAGAGAAAACAGAAACAAAACAGATAGCCTGGAGGTCCACATTTGGATTTAATTTCACGTCGAGCAAGGAGTCATCAATTTCATTTTTTCAATTCAGGCTTTTGTGATGTCATAGCTGTAGGTCTACAGAAATGTAATTTCCCAGTTAAAGATACAAAACAAGATAATAATTTAAAATTACAGATTAAAAGCATTCATTGTAAGATGAATCCCTTATTTTTTGAGGTTGAACTTTCACAACATTGAAAGTAACAGACAACCAGCCAAAACAATGTAATAATTCACAATAACTCCTCTTTATGCTCAAATGTATACATGATTTAAAGATATTTTAAAGAACAATAATCTTAGGGTGGATATGGAATTGAACATATAAAGAATTATGGCACCTTTATCCATGAATAGTAGAGCATAAGAACTAGGAAAGAAAACATTACCTGTCATATAATGGTTGTCGATCAGGGATGGATTTGTGAGTCACCAAATTCACAATTATAGTTTATCATTTTAATGATAGCTTTTAATCACTTCTGCAGGCCTGTATGTACAACCGTTTTTTTTTTTTTTTTTTATATTTTTCCCAAACCAGGTCTGTTATCAGAATTTTAGCTTAAACATTTAATTTACAATTAAATTACGCCGCTAAAGAAAGGAGTGAAACTCTGCAATTCAACCTCACTGATTCACATCACATCACAAATAACCCCTGTCCTGTTGATACTGTTGCTCACGACAATCAAGCAACTGGAATTAGCCATCCGTAATCCCTGCGTAATTCATCAAAAGCCGCGCTGGGGCAGGAATATCAAAATGTCCAATGTATGCTGGTGAACGAAGGCTGCTTGAGTTAAAGATTTAGATGTATGCTCAACATTACAACAATGATTTATTAACGTTTCATGTGCACAAACATGTGGATGTGGTCCTGACAGCATTCTGAGGAAACTGGGATTTTTATTAAAATGTTTCCTTTTTCTAAGTCAAAGTAGGACAAAGTTGCTGGAGAAGTTCAGCTCCAGGCTTGCATAGCTGCATGTACTGTAATAATGCTTCAGGCTAGTAGTCTCAGTAGAATTGATGCCTCACTTTGCTATCTTTTTCTGGTTTGACTTTTCTATAATTTCCTGTTTTTTATTTATTCTTGTCTTTTGTTGGGGATTGTTCATCTTTGAGATTGTCTAACTTGGTCTCTGTAACATGACGGAGGGTTCCGTTGGTTTTCTCTTTCTAATCTTCATCAAACTGCTTATTTTCTGCTTTTCTAAGATAAAAAAAAAAAGCAAACAAACTTTCCCTTTATTTTTTGTGTCTTGTGTCATTCTTTGAGCGTTTTGAACTCTGATGTATGAGTGGAAAAAATGGTTGCTGGTGCCAGCCACACATGAAATGAAGAAGTTGTCTGAGGTTCTAGTGTGAGCAAAGGGAACAAGCGCTGATGGAAAAAAAAATAGAATCTCTTTATTTCTGCTTTTTATAATGTCATTAAATAGAAATGTCTGATGCACACCAGATCTGCCTTTTCTAAATGTGTAAACCATGACAAAAAAAAAATGTTTTCTAAAGGACACTTAGTGGAGAAGTGAGAGAAGCAAGCAGAGGTTCCTCTTTTTGTGAGAGGGGGGATGTCTGGCCATTTAAATTTACATACTGTGTCAAGTGTGAAAAACTCCCTCGTACAGTGAAACTTTAGTCGCACCCATCAACTTGAAGAAACATGAAAGTGTTAAACTGGACAAATGTCAAAGGGCTTTGTTCGTTTCTACACAACAATGACTCATTCTGAATTATTTGTTTGTCTCTTTGCTTTCAACTTAAGAAGCACTGATTTTATTTATTAGCCTTTAAATAGTTAACATCCATGTATAAAGTATGGCTGACAAATTAATGCAAAATGCTAATTAGGCAAAATTATTATTTACAAAATGAGTGTTTAATATTTTTCCCATGGGAATTTTAAGAGTGAGGGCCAGAAAACTTTGTTTGGTTTCTAAAAAACTGATTTAGATTTTGACATGTGACTCTCTGCAAGTTGATATTATGAAATTTAATGTATGACAGGGAAAAGACATGGCACTGGAAGCCACATAGTGTCTTGTTCGGTGTTAAATGGTGGTCTCAAGTTTAAAATGAAAGGAGAGCCAGAAGGCCCCATGAAGGAGAAGTGGATACAAAAAAGGAGAGGAGAGAAGCTGGCTGCAAGCCTAAACAATAAAAAAAAAAACGGAGACTTTGAAATTTAACCTGAAACCATCATAAACATGGGACAAATCAAAAACCACACTAATCTTAGGAACCTCAAAATGTGCAAGTGTCCAAAAAAAGTAGGAAAAATCTAACATACAAGAAAATTGACACCTACTTAACTCTCTAACCACTGTCAAATAAAGTCTGCTTGAACAAATACAACCTTTAGAAAAAAAAACACATTGTTTTTCCGCTTTGAGGATTTAAAGCTTCTTTCTGTTCTTTGTGTAATTGTTTATTTACTCTCATAAGTTCACAGAGGCAGCCACCGTTTTCCAAAGAAGACTTAATAAATGGCCAAAAAGGAGAAGTACGTTATGAAGTTCACTTTGCAAACACAAAAGTGCCTTCATATAACGTACTCAAAAGCATCCAATATGACTCAACTCAACACATGCTATGGTTTACAACTTATTTATTTGTCTGAAGCTGATTTAAAAAGACATCATTAAGTTGCTTTAGGCATTATGGAGCATGGAAAAATGGTCCAAATCAAAACAGCAAAACTGACAATAAAAATGTTTTTTTAATTTATTTAGATATTTCTTTGCACAGCCTGTAAGTTTAAAACAATATTTTAAATCCCTTTGCAGCAACAGGCAGACTGATCTGCCCCTCCAAACTTGGAGAATATTTTTGTCTTTTTTATCTCTTTTGATGCAGTAAAAAGGAAGACAGACAGAATTGACTTGAGATTTTTGCTTCTGCTTGTTATTTAGGTTATTTGTAAAACAGAGTTATAGGCAGGTGAGAAAATATAAAAACACTGTACTTCGAGTATGACTGAACGTATTATCTTGGGATTTTTAGCTGCAACGGAAGAAAGATTTTCTTCATGTTTGACTGATTCAAACTCATCATTGGGATTCCTATGAGTAAATTATGCAAAAATCACAATTATGAGTCATTTTACAGTGAACTTTGATATATACACATGTGAAAAAAAAATACCCTGGTTATTTCTTTGGCTTTATAAGTGTGATGTTGCTGTCTGAGCATGTTTAGAGGCATTTTTCTTTTGCCAGGTAAGATGAGATATGCTTTACTAATTCCAGAATTTGAAAATTATTGAGCATGACATGACAAAAACATATGTAGAGGCATAATCGAGAATGGTAAAAATATATATTTTTATAAATCAGGATAAACAGCAACAGGAAAAACCTAAACTACTGTCTAAAAGATGTGGACTATTTAGAAGAAGTCACTCTTGCAAACATGAGTAAAATACAGAAAACAGCGTAAACCTTGACCAGAACCCTGCCACAGCAAAATCTCCAAAAACAAGAAACCCATCCAGGATTTTTTTCCCTGATAAGTATAAATAAATTCTTGAAATTGAGCAAAGATCACAAGAAATGATTCACCAGATGAATGTTCTTCTTATTGGTAAATCAAAAACTCCCAAAGCAGTTTTCATCTGAACTGCCTGACCTTAAACATAAACGCCAATGCTTGACTGTAAAGCTTTAAATTGTGTGAAAGGTGGAACCTTCAGCTTATTTTTAAAGACTATTTCTAGATCTTCCATCAGCAAAACATCAGCACAAATGGCAAAAAGATCAGAAGTTGTCATTCGATTTTAACAGCAATCAATCGTGAAGGAAGTAAAAAAGGAAAGCTGCGTCTTGAGCCTTCATATATACCCTGCACACATCTGCTCTCTGAACCACTGCCCTCTGCTCACCATGGAGGATGTTTCAACAGGAAAACCAAGGTCATCACAGATGACCCCTTACACCCAGCCCGTCTTCTGTTTGACCTGTGACCCTGTCTGAGATGCTTCAGGTCGTTCATGTCACCTCTTACTCAAAAACAGCAAATCATATTAAGAAAATGGTTCTGACAATGTAACAAAGACAAGAACACAAACATACACAGACGCCCATAATTCAATGAAAGCAACAAGCAGCCCAATCTACATCTTCCTACATCTTCTCAGATTTTGTAATGCATGCAAAGTCTATAGACACCTTAAGCTTTAAATTATTATTCTTGTTTATGTATCTTATACACTGCAAGTAAGAAAAATATCTGTTTTAGATCTATTATCTCTTTGTTGCCTTCATGTGTTGTCTTTTGTGTGTGTTATTTTTTTGTGTGTGCGTGTGTGGTGCATGGTGGTTTGGTGGGAGCACCCTTAATTTCATTGTGCCTCCCAGTGTAACGACAGTAAAGACCATTATGATGGGTTCTTTCTGAATTTTCTACCTTTATTGTTAAACCACTTCCTTCTTGTGGTTTCATAGTTGGGTACAGAGCCTTAGACTCTTCTGCTGCTTACTCTCTTCCACATGTGACTTAATGAGAAAATGACAATATCTTCTTTCCTTTGGTCACCAGCTGATCTCTGTAATGTGGACCTCTCAGCCCCTTAACCCTGCATCCTTTTCTCTGGTTAGAGCAAAGTCTTAATCCATCCTCTCCTCCGCACTACATAGCCTCATGATCAATGCTATGTCTGATCTAAATATAGATCTGTTATCTACAGCTAAAATAAATGAAAAAAATAACACCTGCCTTGTGTACATGTGCTCTAAGCTTACCTTAGACTGGAATGCCTTAACGCATTTAAAAACCAAATGAGCATAAAACATTAAACATTAAAATGAAATCAAAACTGGCTTCCCCTGAACTGGTTCCAGAACGACTCATGAAACAACACATTTAAGCTTGATTTGGGTATTGATTGTTATTAGTTTCTGATTTCCCGAATCTAACATTATTTATTAATTTTATTAATGTATTAATCTTCTAAGGAGAAAACTGTTATTAAACCATTTTTTTCTTGGCTCATCTCTGTTTATCCTTATGAGTTAATTGCTACACAAGGGAGAAGTATTGCATTTCCCGTGGTGTTGGAGTTCTTTATGTAACAATGTGGTTTTTCTGTGCATTCTTAGTTTATTTAATCTCTGTGTTGCCTTATCAAGTCCCTCATTGGACCCACCTCTCTCTTGTCCCCCTGGTTATTCTCCTGTGTATTTAGCCTTACCTTTGTCCTCCATTCCAGGCTGAATCCTTGTCTTAGTTGTTGCTGTCATTGTTGTCTTTGTCAGGTCACAGTTTGCCAACTTGAGTTTGTGCCTGTGTCTCGTAGTTCCTGGCATTGTGAACAACTTGGACATTTACGAAAACTCATGTTCTCCACCTTACCCTGCTTCTCGCCACCATCAAGCCTCATCATAGCACTTTATATGGGGATTTTTCATTTAAACCCCTGCAGGCTCTTCTAATGTTTGTTTTCGTACTCCTTTTAAGTTTCAGATTGGGACATTATACGTCTAGAGGACACCAAAGTACGCCGCACTTCACTCAATCATTCACCCATTCACACACACTCTCACATGCTAATGGGCTACATTGTAGCTATGGCTGTCCTGGGGCAGTCAAACAGAAGCAAAGCCACTAGCAGGCAAGAGGTCATGGGGCCACTCACCTGTTAGTGGCCCTTGAATTGTCTTGCCAATGACAAAAGAGAAACAGAGTTGGGGATTCGAACCTTCAGCCTGCCAGTTATAGACGAACTCCTAACCCCTGACCCAAGGTCGCCCCAGAAACTGACAATAACTTATGCTTCCATGAATCAGATTGTTATTGGGGACAAAATATATCTGACGCGTGACCTCAGAAATGCTACAATATCTTATCAGATGAAGGTAGGTGAATAAAACGGATCATGTGACCACATAGTGGGGGAAAACACTGAGAGGGGAACCACACTACTCATTGTTCAACTTTAGTAGTTTAGAGAAGTGAAACAGGCACTAAGAAGGCCGGCCCTTTCATATACGTAGGTAATTCCCCAGTAAAAGATTGATGACATGGAAATTGGGGGGTGGTTTTCTTTTCTGATGTATAAATAAGAAGGCAGGTGGTGATCAAACAGCAGAGATAACAAGCCGACCTTAGCTGAGATTTTCAACACTTACCACCAACAAACCCACCTCAGGATGGCTCGCCTTGCTCTGACTGCAATTGTGATGATGATGGCCTTCATCGCTCTCACTGAAGGTAAGATGAAACTTTGAAATAAAATAGAAACCATTGAATAC